AATTATTTTCTTTCTTGCCAAGACTTTGAATAGATCTGATCAGTTTGGTCCTTTTATAATGATGATTTATTATGTATACAAGTATACCTTTCAGATAATCTAATGTGCATCAAAATCTTCAGTTTTGGAAAACTGACATGTATTTTTATTCAAATTGTTTACCATAGAATCAAATGTTCATGATTCATGGAGTAGTACCAAAATTTCTAAATATTTCAAATATCTAACTATCCATATTAGTAATGTATCCCATAAGACTTACATTTTTTTCATGCTGATTGCATAAGTAAATTGATTAACAGCAGTTAAGTGATATATGTCAAGATGTATATAAAATGTTCAATCTTTCCCTTGGTCCAGGTAGTTCCTTGGACTTCACAAAATTTGCTCTCCTTTCTTGGCTATAACTGTGATACTAAGTAACACTTGGTAACTAAGTTCAGGTGACAGCCATTGACTTCTTTTAAGAAATTAAACTGATGCTAAGATGCTGTTGCCGACCCGGTAGCTTCCCATTCACTTGTTACCTGAAGGAGACCTAAAAGTAGTGGTAGATAAAGTGAAGGGCGCTTATCCCTGAGTAAAGCCTGTTATCACCAGAGGCAGTTTAACCTCTTGCTAAGGAAGAAGTCAATATTGTGCCAGTTCTTTTATGGGCAGCAGCAACGAAAAATTATCCATATGGTTGCATAGTGCCAATAAAAATTAGCCCATTCTAGCTACTCTTGGAAGATGATCTTGGCCTAAGAGTTTGTGATATAAAACTATTTATATAGTAAACATTAACTCCAGATTGCCAGCTGGTCAGTTGTAAAATACTATTGGCAGATTTTGTTTTTTCTTTTTCCCCTGTTGAATAATTCATTGATGCTTTTATTTTTAAGTTTATCAATTCATGAAAGTCCTTTTGAATCATCTTCAGTAAGAAAGTTTTGATGTATAAGTAGTTAAGATTTCTTACCAACTGCAGTCTTTAGTGTGGTCATATATACATTTTTTGTGGATCACTTTTCACGGGGAAAAGTGAACACTTGCATGGCAGTGCGTAAGGCTTCTGGCATTGAGTATTAGGGCTTTGGGTCTGGAGATAAGATGGATAACAAGATTAGATAAGAAAGGAAAGCCTGTACTTTAATTATACCACATTTACCCTCCCCTTTCAGCCAAGATGTAAAGGAAGTTGATATAAAATTATGATTGATTACAAGTGATCTTTTTAAGTTTTGCAATAAATGAATGGTTTATTGTGATTTATTGGTTGTATAGTTAGTTTTGTATGGAAAAAAACTGATATCATGAAATAGTAAAGTAAAATAGTGTGGTTTAAGTAAATTGCATTGCTTTGACTTGGATATACTTTTCAAGCACTTCATTTGAAAAAATTATGAAACTGATAGGTTCATAGTTCGAAGTGAAATGGTCACAATAAGTAAAGAAAAAAAAATTCTTCATTCAATCCACGTTCTTCTACAGAACATGAAATATTTGAATCAATGGCCTGATTTTGTTTCCTCAGTGTGGCTTTTTCATTTCGTCAGTGTGTAAGATTTATATCCGATTATATAATATTGAATTTTTATATAGTACTGACTTTTAATCAGGGCAGTCCACCTCGTATCAGATTGGTCTATTCAACAACTACAGAACTATGAGAAAAGTACTTACAGAATTGATAACTGATTGGAGACTATAGCAAAGAATGAACAATACATTTGTTGCCAATTGAGAAATTTAATAGATGGACATCCCTGAAGTAAGATCATGTCTAATGTTGCAAACAAAATGAAGTGTGATATTACAGGGAAGCTGTTGTGAAGCAACCACTCAGCTTGTAAAAATGGAGGGTAAGGCAGTGGTTTTGTCTGTCTGTGCTCAGTTTCATGGAAGTTTTGTGCTATTTTTTTCTTACCATTGAAACCTCAACCCACAATTTGGTTTCCAAGGAAATTGGTCAAGAGATTTGTGAAGCATTAAAAAAAAAGAAAAGGAATAAAACAATCACAAAGGGGTTTCATTGTGTAATTATTTTTCAGCTTTAGCCTTTGTTTGTTTTATAGCTAAACTAAAGAAATGTATATTAGAGCATTTGAAGATTCACATACTGATACATTGCATCTGACTGGAAATACATTAGTTACTTGTAGACAGTGTTAGTGGAGGGGGAAAGGGGGGGAAATTTGGTGAAAATACTTGTATAAAATACGCAGTGGAATCTTCAAGTGCTTGAGCAATTGTAGTAAAAAAAAAAAAAATAATAAAGTCTGATCTCTAACAAACTAATCCCAGAAGGTGGTTTATTTATTTATTATTGTTGTTTTCCTCCCCAATCCATCTTAACATAAGCCAGCAAGATTGAGATGTGATTGTTGTTTCTTGATGTGAAGCTTAAGGTGAAAAAAGTGAATGTGCTTGTTTTGGGTTAATAATGATCTTTTTATATTTCTATATAGGTTTGTTTATATACTTTGTCTATTTTTAATTTGCTTTATCTTTAGTTGTTGCATGTTTTATATTAACCAACCAGTATGTTAGTGTCAACAAGAACATGTCTGCTTGTAGCTGTAATAATCTTTCAAAAGCTGAATAATCTTATAGTAAAACAAAGAAATGCCAGTCTCGCTTGTGTCGATAAATCCATTTCATTGTGGGTTCTTTAGAGGACTGCATATGAAGGCAAGCAGGTTTTAGTTTTTGGAAATGTAGAAATTATAAAACAGTTCTTTATCATATAATAGAAGTAGGACAGTTATAAAATGAGTAGATAACCAAATTAGATTTTGAAATGTATTTTTAATCTGTTCATAGCATTTCAGAGAAATTAAGCATATTCTAGATTTCTGAGGTGTTTATGCAGTCTGCTAAATATTTATCCTTGGAACTTTGAGTATATGGGCTGGTATTCCAAATTAGTAGCTTTATATTAATCCAGTGCCTCTGAATAGTTTGTCATAGCTGGCTTGGTTCTGGCTCCGTATGACATGCTATTCCTGTCATAGCTGGCTTGGCCGTAGCTACTGAGGATAGGTCATACAGAACATGTTAGTGTGATGCATGTATTACACTTTATGGTGTTCTATATTAGGTACCCTCAAGCCCAGTGTCACATCCATGGGTTATTGCCTGGGGGAGAATAGTATGTCCTTCCTTCATTGGCTGTTTTGTATAAGTGGGGTAATATTTCATTCACCTCCTTTTGCTGTAAGATATGCATAAAAAAATTGCACTCTTGTTATGGCTGTGAACCTCTTGGTAACCTTAATTAGTTTGTGACTGTCTTGAAGTATGAGACAGAAAGGAAGTACTAAAGCTGTAGGGGGGGGGGGGTAACAGCCTTGTATACAGCTGCATAAAATCTCTTGTACCTTAAGATTTCGGAGCAAACACTTTTTTTTTTTTTTTTTTAATCCCTTTATAAACCTCTTTTACATCACCTAACACCAAATTTATTGAAATACTCTTAACTTGCTTAAATAGGCTACTTGCAGGTTCAGTCTTATAAATAATTTTGATATTTTAATATGCTGAAACAATCTCATTTTGTATACAAATGATAGAAAAAGAAGTAATTGTTGAAGGACTTTGAATGTGGTTCACTGGCAGAGTGAAAAAGGCCCAGGAGGCAAACCCAGTCAGCTGTGCATACTCCCTGGAGTAAAGGCCAATCATACCTCAAATTCTCCTGGAGGCATTGGGTTAATGATTTACAGTATCTATTGTCGAGATGTTAGTCCTCACCCTAACTTGTGATTGTCAGCCAAAGTTCTTGGTAGATCTGGTGAAAATTTCTTCACGCCTAGGTAATGTCTCTCAAAATTGTGTTTGATAGGTTTCTCATTGTTTTTATTTTAAGACAAACACAACATTGTTTACATTTGTTTTTAAATTTGTTACAGGAATAAGTAAAATCATGGCTGAGGCAAAGGAAGCTTACATCTCCATCCTGGAGAAGAAGTTAGCTGAGCTGACTGGCATTGAGGTGGATCAGATCAAGAAGAATCAGGTATGTGATATAAATTTATTTTTCATTCTGAATATAGGAATTTGGGGGAAAATGCTTCAAAGGGAATTGCATCTTCATAAACCTTCTATTTCCAAAAGCTGTATTCAAATTTGTGTATTTGTTTCCAGTTCGCAAATGCAGCAGATGAGGCTGTCGCCATCCGTGAGATGGCTTCCTATGTAGAGGGGATTGTTGTACAGCAGGCTGGTGTTGCTCAGGCTGGTACAGTCAGTCCTCAGATTGCACAGATGTTTGCCCATATCAATGCTGAATTGGGTAAGTTCAGTGTAAATTAGTGTAGTTTTTCAAAATCTGAAAGATGAGTGATCTTAACCCAAATAGGTCTGGTGTTTCACAGGTGGCCAGATGGCTGTGCTGGATCATATTGTCTCTTTATTTATGGATGCCAAAGAGTGCATGGGACCTGTGCAAACCTGGATACCCTCCACACACTTTTTTTTTTTTTATGCCTCTCAAAAGTGACTCCGTTTGCAGGTGAGGAACGAGGTGCTCATGCTTTGCCGCCTCTCAAGTATGACTTCAATGGCCTCGAACCCCACATCTCCGGCATGATCATGGAGATCCACCACACAAAGCACCACCAGGGCTACATTAACAACCTAATTGCTGCTACAAAGAAGGTAGGTATTCTGGGAACTTCTTGGACTCTGGTGTATCTTAGTCCCTAGCAGTTGGATCCTGTAAGATGACATTTGCATAATCTAGCCACTTTTTTTTATAAATCCACCCCAGTTAAGTTTTTGTTCTTCTCTAACGGCTCTTTTGTTAGTTTTGTCAAGTCTTGTAAATGTCAGAAACCTTGGGTGAGGTAGCTGTAGTCTCCTTTTTCTCTCTCTCCCTGGTGTGTCTGCACTCTCATGCAGTGGCATACTTTTCTTGCCTTTGACCTAAGTAAAATAGCCTAAGATTACTTTATGGCATTTTTGACACTGTTCTTGGAGCAGGTGCATAAAAAACTGAAACTAATACGTGAAACCTCCCCCCCCCCCACTCTCCCCTCCATGAATTCTGTAATATTTCAGTTGATAACATTTTGTCAGTACCATATAGATGCAACTTTCTCAGGCCAGTGTGGTATATATTTATCTTATATTCTTAAATTTATATATACATTCGAGATGTGTAAGGTTATATAAATGAGGAACCTAAGTGAGGCCACCTGTGAGAATGAGGGGCCCCGTTTGTTCTTCGAAAAAGGGGGTGAAGGGACCAAGCTTTGAAGAGCTGGGGGGAAGGCAGGGGGGACCCTCTTGTGCTCTCCCACAGGTAGAGCTGTGCCGCCTTGGTAAAAAAATTATGGAGTGGTGTTTCAGAAGATTTTATGAATAAATATGAATAAATAGCGGGATATATGTTGTATGTAATCTTCCCGCATTCCCTGGACGCTTTATAAATTTTTAAATCCCGCCAGACCCTTTCGATATTCTGTGTGTGGATATGTGGGTAGTGTGTCTGCAGAATTCTCTGAATGGTTAATTACAAGGTGCTCGTACCCATGTTTTAAATTGCGGTAGGCAGCCCACCCATCACTACAAATAACTGTTCCAGGTTGAATGTATTGTTTAATTAGGGGTATGAGTTTGTCTGCACTACTATTGCTACCTACCAACGGCACCACAAATTTCTTTTTTGACTCGCGCTCAATACCCCCAAAGACCCACACTTGACTAAGTTACCTCCCTCTGTTGTACTTGCGGCGCACGAGCAGTGTTTCATCGATCTCAGTGATTACACCGGCACCTCCTATGGAATTTTGATTTTGTAACCAATTTTGGGTTACTTCTGAACAAAAACTCCTCCAATCTATGCTAGTTGTTTTTGACATGACAATTAATGACAATTTCGTCATCCCAATGCTTCTGGAGCCATTGATTTAACAAACAAAACTACTTTAAATGGTTCCAAATGTTTCCCCTGCAGGAACGTGCCTGTGTAATTGCCGGTCGAGAAAACGCAACTTTTGCACCATTTTGTTTTTGCTATTTTTTTTCCATAGGCCACAATACCACGTGTCAATCTTCACTATATTTGCAAGGTAAATTGCAATGTGGGCAACTCACCAACCTGGGTAAAACACCGTGTGCCCTAAGAAATGTTATAGCTTCATTTTTGCCCAAATATTCTGAGATAATCTTTACATGACCTCATGACATATAGATGTTACGTGTAAAAAATAAAATAAGTATTAGAAATCATCTCGGATGTCCCCAAGGTCCATTGCATTACATCACGCTGGTGAGAGACCTGGCAATGAGCCATTTCCCAGCGTGAGTGGGTTAATCTTGGGGCTAAATTGAAACCTTTATTTTCCAGTTGGTGGAGGCAGAGGCAGCCAATGACGTGAATGCAATGAATGCCCTTCTGCCAGCTATCAAGTTCAATGGTGGCGGACACTTGAACCACACCATCTTCTGGACCAACATGGCTCCTGATGCTGGCGGTGAGCCTCAAGGGGCAATTGCACAAGCCATTGATGATAGCTTTGGATCATTCCAGTCCTTTAAGGTGGGTTTGTCATGTGATGGTCAGTTTTGGCATGTTTCTGGTCTCTGAAAACCATACTAGTAAAAAAGAAAAAATTTTGCTTGAACACTTATGTACTTGCTTCATACAATTTTTTGATTCTCTTCCTTTGGCCTCTGTTCTTTTCTCTCATCCCTTCTCCCTTCCTCCCTGAAGTATAATCTGCTTTCTCTCCCAGGACAAATTTTCCGCTGCCAGCGTCGGAGTGAAAGGCTCAGGCTGGGGATGGCTCGGCTATTGCCCCAATAACAACAAGCTTGAGATCGCCACTTGCCAGAACCAGGATCCCTTGCAGATCACTCATGGTAAATTGATAGACTAAACATGGTACTGATTGCAATTGGGTAAAAACTGAGTTAGATTTCTTTGATGCAAACAGTGACACATTTTAATCATAAAGCAAGTGATTCTTAGTAATTAATTAATTGCATTACTTTCATTGCAGGGCTGGTTCCATTGCTCGGCCTTGATGTCTGGGAGCATGCTTACTACCTTCAGTACAAGAACCTCCGTGCAGATTATGTGAAGGCCTTCTTCAATGTCATCAACTGGCCGAATGTGAACGAGCGTTACGAGAAAGCCTGTAAGGATGCCGGTCATTGACTCCTCGGGGCAACCAAAGAACCAATTCGGTGTCACAAGTCGTTCTCCCACCTGTAACTCAGAAGCTAACTGGCTATTGTGATAATGCACTGTGCTGTCTTCGTGATGGTTTCATTAGGTGCCCTCAAAAAAAAAAGAGGATAAAAAACACAAGATATTATTTTCCATTTCAAAACCACAGAAGTTGCTTTTTGTTTTTTGGTTGAAAATACTCTGCAAAGACATTCTTCACTGTTACTAAAAGGGCATGGTCTTGTGTATCAGTATATAAGTACATCTATGCATGCTCATATCTGGTCAGTGTTTATAAAGTGTTAAACACGCCCTTTAAGCATTACAATATAAGGGATTTATAACCAAAACTAGTATTTCTCTCCTTCTTTATTTCTGGCATCTAATTTGACAGTTGCTATGCAGATGGCAGATAAAGGTAAAATACACACTGCAAAATTTCATACTTCTTAGTATGATTTATTAACTATATAATGTGAAATTCGAAACCGATGAAAATATTTAGGTAAACTATGACATGGATATTTAAGAGGTAAAGTAAGAGTATTTAGTAGTTGATAATGCATACCGAACTCCAGATAGAAAATTACTAAGGAAAGATTTAGAACCATTAACCTGGCTTTCCTGATTTTGTGAGATGCTTTCCATCTTTGCCTCTCATGTCTCGACACTGAATTGCAGGCTACAAATATACAAACTGACATTACATTGCAGGCTACAAATATACAAACTGACATTACATTCAAGGTGTTTGTCATGCCTAGCAGTTTGTAACGTCAAGCAACCCCTAAAATAGGTATTACAACATCTACCTTGCTATGACTAATGTAGAAAAAGGTATTGAATGAGAATGAACATTGACACCAGTTACGTTAAGATGCTCATTCTTCCATACTTTCTCTTCATGAAAACTCCCCAACATCCTCCACTCCATCTCCTGCACAATCTTCTTCACTGTCTACCCCCTCCCTCCTTATTACTATTCATCCCTATTACCGTTCTCTCCACAGTACTGCCTCCCTCCGACCCATCCCATCTTCCTCCCTGCCTCTTCCTTTAGCTGCTTTCACCTCCACAAACCTTCAGAGTACCCTTTTTGGTCCAGGCAAGTGGGATCGATTATTTTTCCCCTTGCTCTGACAATACCCTTCTCTTGCAACAGTGTTTCCAAAAACAAGTAGGCAAGGTTTCCTTCCGCAGTCCTTTCGATCGTTAACAGCTTGTCGGTTACATCGGAGTCCCATAATACTTGTACAGGAATGGCTTCTGTCTCCCCAACTGATTTTCCCGTCTACGATTAGGATTGGTCAGACCGTGAAAACGAGCTACTCGCCTGCTTCGTTCGTGATGCAATGGTATTTAAGAAACTTCCTAAGCATGACCGAAGGGTGTGATCCACACCCTTCGTCTACTCTTCAATCCCTCTATTTCTATTCGCTCTACATTCAAAGTATTTGCCGTTATCTACCCTTCTAAAGTTCCTTCCACCCCTCTTCCTCCCACAACCTCCCAACACACCCTCATCCTCTCCTCCATGTGCACTACCTTATTTTGAGGAGGAGATTCCTTAGTTCAAGGATGGGATGGGAAGCTAAGGGTAGTGATAAAGTAGGGGGGCGAGACCCCTCGCTTGGTATTTTCCTTTGTCATCGCTGGTTGGAAGGCGCGGTTTACTTTTTGGAAATGGGGCCAGGTTGGTTTGGTTGGAGACGCCTTTTTCCGCCTGCTCGGGATTATCATATCAGGCAAATAATCCCGTTATGATAGCCTATAGCCGGTGAGACCCTCGCCTGCCTCCATTCCAGCTCCTAGGAACTGAGAGCGAGGTACAGTGGGTCACTCTTGTTTAACTGAACGAGAAACAAAATAGAACAGACCACGAGAACAAAAGGAACATAAAACATAACAAAGAAAAAATATCACTTTTTTTTCGCCTGCTAGGGATTATTATAACAGACATAGTCCCGCTATGATAGCCTATTGCCGGTGAGACCCTCGCCTGCCTCCCATCTATTTCCTAGGAGCTGGGAGCGAGGTTCAGTGGGTCACAATTTTGTTTATTTGAACGAGAATATTGGTGAAACGAACAGAAGAAACAAAGCTAGGAATTACTATAACAGGCATAGACCCGCTGTGATAGCCTATTGCAGTTCAGACCCTGCAAAGTTTCGATAAATAACAAATTGGCAATTAATGAATATAGATAAAAGCGCCTAGAACAACCTCGTCTCCGCGATAAATGTTTTATGAGAATGTTAGTTCAAGAGAGTTAAAAGACACGAATGAAACTCATCCTCACAAACATCAGTGACCTGAATTACTTATTTGTCTTTGTTTTAGTCACAATCTCACTGAAATAAACTGACAACACATACTGTTTTGAGAGTCTCACAAGCTAATTAAACCACAGTTATAACCCTTCGCAAATCCAGAAATGAATCAGGGTTCACAGGGCCAATGATAGGCATTAGAGAAGGGTTAAGGAATTCTTCCGGAAAAAAGTTGAAATTTGAGATATTTGGAAGACTTCTTAATCGGCGTGTGTATGTGTTTGTGTGTGTGCTTCGTGATTTCCCTCATTTCCGAAATCAGAATGTTATGCACTTCTATTTGGACCTTCAAGGTGGCATCATTATACAAACGGAGTACTTAAACGGAGAACTCAGCCAGCCTGAGCTACTTGGAAGATCGGAATAAAAAAGAAACGTCCAGGAAAAAATGTAAAAAATCTTTTTCGTGTTTTATATGCTAAAACTATTGTAATATCGAATGACACCTCGGATGCTTGGGAACTGTTAGAGAGAGGTAGAAAAAATACTGAAGAACGGACCAAATATACATCAACTTTCATTTCAATTAGACACATTTACAAATTTATAGACACAATACATACACAAATAAGAGTGAGGGAGTTAAAATATGCCCCTGTGTTGTGCTCTGTGGTGCAGCGGTAGCAATCTCGTCTAACAATCTTCCTGACCTGCGTTCAAATCCCTCGCCGCCAGTGGATGGTAACCCTGGCCATTCCTTGCACACAGGGGATAACTTAGAAGTAAAATGAAAGACACTATGTCACACCAAGAATATCCATTGTAACAAATGGAATCAAACTATTTTTTTTTCTTTAGTCGCGCTCGTCCACACCTCGTCCACCACGTCAGGGTCGAGGAATACCAGCGATATACATGGGACATCAGAAACTGCCTTGCCTACCAAAAAAATAGTAAAGAGTAAAAAAAAAAAAGCGTAAGAAAGCGAGAGACGAGGTGCAGCCATTGACGTTATGAGCCTGAGGAATCCGGATCGACTGGCCTTTGCATTTGACAAATTTCCTTCGTCAGGAATCCCAATCCCTTGTTGTCACGGAGCTGGGGGGGGGGGGAGAGCTTAACCATTCTGGAAGTGTACAAACATCGCCTTGTGAACCAAAAATATTCATTACCTAGAGACTTTCAAATGCTAAATTGTTAACTAGTACTCTTAGGGGCACTGCTATACTACTTATTATCACTGTTTTATATGTTTTGTTGCTCCATTTGAGAGAAAAAAGTGAATAAAATACGGAGCTCTCCTGAGCAACACGAGTATATTCTGGAGGAGTATTTAGCACTACGTTGCATTTTCCATGAAAATTCCCAATTTTATCCACGTACTATCACGGCTGGCACTGAACTCTGGCACTCAGCATAGACCCAGCATAGACCACGGTGGTGCCCATTTGCAAGATCAGTAGATTACTACCTTTATGCCCCCGAGACGAAGTGTCTATAGTGCCTTGTAAAATCCCAAAGGCTTATCACCCCATAGGTCTAACACCACACTCTGTAGTTTCAATGGAATTTCCCTGAACTACCATTCCACCTACAATACAGCTATTGGAAAACCAATAGTATACACAATGGTGTATACACACCCTGGGTCAGGATTACTTTAATGAAGTCTGACCGATAACAAAAGTATCGTCGATATATTAATGAAACAAACTCCAAACTATATACCATACATATAACATGAAATAAATGAAAATCGAGAAACCTAATAAACAATCTTTATCTCTCAGCTACTTTTTATGCTTTTCTATAACGCAGCTCAAATCTGTCTGTCCGGTCTAAACTGGATTATACCATCGAAATTACAATAAAGATCGACAATGAGCTACAATTGTCTTTTTTTTTTTTTATTTCGATCAATTCTGGCGAATAACTAATCGTCATTTTTTAAGCAGTTTATAGTAGTTTATGCATACATTCCTCCCTTTCTACGATATTGCTTAGATACATTGGACGGTAAAGAGGGATGGAGTATAAATATATTCTTTTTTTGGGTGGAGAAAAGGAGGGATACCCATAACATATTTCGATTTAGGAGAGGGCAATAAGAGACAGTGTCTTTAAAACGCGATATTTAGGATTTAATATTAACCGTCATCTTGCGTTAATTTCAAGTCATAGACAGTGTCTATGTAAAAATTAAATCGCTTTAAAAGTTTCGCATTTCTCTAAGTACTACTATTACACCATTAATACATACAAACAATTTTAGCCTTTAATACCAAATTAGACGATTAAAAAAAATCACACACCAATTCTCCTACATTCCTGATCCCTCGATGTAAACATTGGGAGAGCAGGTGCAGACGTTTTCGGCGAGCTTTCCTGCATCTGAATTTTTTTTCTGAATTTGCGTGTGATATGACTGTAAAAGCTAATGAAGGCTCGAAGAGAGATCACCCTAAGTCCTACAATGATCATTCTAACAAGAGGTCGGTTGACAACAAGCAGAATGCAAAAACTAAAAAGGAGAAAACAACGGCGCCGCTCACGAAGGTAAGCTAATGCAATTAATTAATAAGATAGGGATATAATTGAATAAACCTTTATGTGGCCATTGACTCGTTTTATAGATTCGGATTCATATTCCAGTGCCAATATTCGTCGAAATACACAAACTTTTTAGATGATTAACTATTATGCCAGACCACAATGCTTATACATTGAATCCAGGTGTAAAATACAAACCAAAAATATAGTTGTATTTTCAAAGGCTTTATAGCATGTGAATGAAGTGGGGGTTTTTTTTGCAGGTATTACTAGAAGCTAAGTTATTTACTTTGTCTAGTGTTGGGAATTTGTTACAAAGTCTCCATATGCTAGTGTTTAGTATTTACAATACTGTGCATTAGATTAGTGTCAGGTCTTGGGCTTTCGGATGCCAGTCTTCTTTGCAAGATTAAACAGGTGAAACTTTTCTAGTTCATCCTGCAATTCTTGTCATCATCATCATCATCATCATCATCATCATCATCATCATCATCATCATCATCATCATCATCATCATCAGCATCAGCATC